GAACTCCCTGTATCATACATATCCCACAGACACACAAAAGCACTTCTGCTGGTCCCCAGGTCAAGGGTAGCTTCTGTCTTGGCCTGCCCTCCCTGCTATGGGAAGAAATTGCCACTGGAGGGGGAAGGAGAGAAACAGAGAAAGAGAAGGAAGGAGATAGGACGGTGCAACTGAACTCTGCAGCCTCGTTGACCAGAGGCAGAGGTGCCAGGCAGAGATGCCTCCCCTCCGTCTTGGACAGTGGTCTCCTTGAAATTCTCTCCATACTCCAAGCCACCTCTCCCTATTGTGTGGGCCCCTTGGGGGAGGGGCTGTGCCTGAGTCCCGTGGCATCTCCCCAGCTCCTAGCCCTGCACAGAGCATCCAGTGCTAGCTAAATGAGTTGAATCCCCTTCTGTTTTTCTAGCAAAGCAGCTAACTGGCTACTCTGGGGCTGGCTCCATGCAGAGAAGAAGTGATGCCGTCCGCAATGAGCTCACAAAGTGCAGCTCTGGGAAGACAGTTTCAACAAAATCACGCCCCCTTCCTACCTCTGCAATAGCATCCTCTAGTCTGGCCCAGTGGCACTCCACCAGTCCACCTCACCTGGTTTACACGCAGCTCCCCTAGGGGTTGAATCAGAGTGACTGGGCTGTGCCTCTCTGCCTGGTGAGACACCACTGGGCTGGCTGGCTGGGAAATCAGTCTTAGTGGAGGCACCAAGAATGGGGCCGACCAGGCTCCATGATGCTGGAGATGTCTCATCTTACCCCTTTCCCCTCAAAAAGTGAGCCCCTCACTCTGGTCCCCACCCCAGGAGCATTATACTTACCTTGAGCCAGGTAGCAGTTCACATGCTTTATAAGTTAGAATGATGAGCCCATTTTTCAGACGTGGAAACTAAGGCTCAGAGAGGCTAGAAACTATCCCAAGGTCACAAGACTGTTAAGAGGTGGCTCCGGGTTTTGAGCCCAAGTCCGTCTGACTCCCAAGCTGGTTCTCTCCCCAGTTAGGTACCAAGACGTAGGTTCAATGCCTAATCCTGGAGGGACTACATGGACCACCTCTATTCCTGGAAAGGTTGTCTGGCTTTCTCTCCTTTCTTGCAGCCCAGAGAAGAGTCTGGAGAGACTCAAATGAAGAGTGTGGAGCATGAGGCAGAGGAAGTGGGGGCAGAGATTCGTGGTCTAATGGCTTCTCAGTGGACTTTCATTCACTGATTTTCTCCACAGTGGAGAAGCTAGCTCTGTAATGGGCTGGCGATCACTTCTACTCATTGTAATAATAATCCTGATACCCTCCAGGGACCTCTGGGTTCCAGGGACCCAGAACCCTGGTTTTAAAGGGGTCTCTGCATCCCTCAGCCCCAGCCCTCTGGCAAGTCCAGAGGCCTCATGAGCAATGGGGTAGAGTATTTTCTTAGAAGTTGACGGGAAGGATGGGGCTCCGCAGAGGTCATGTAGCAGACTGAATGGGTCAGAGCAGAAGGAAGGCCCACCACCCCGTGAAGGATCAGTGAGAGAAAACCTGGCCCCTGAACCGAGTTCTGTGAATAGAGACAGAAGTATGTATGAATAGGGGGCTGACTCAGTGATGAGTATATGGCAGGGACTTGGAGGAGGGGTGTGTGTCAGGGCTAATGTGGCCATGAGAGAGAGAGAGAGAGAGAGAGAGTGTGTGTGTGTAGTGAGGGAATAATACCAAATATACTGTATCTGGATTGTAACTGCCAGTCAATTCAAACCCAGCTTTTGCTCATGGTAAATCACCAAAAAAAGTAATTAACTGAAGGGAGAGTAACCATAAAATATTTGGGAATCTCTCAACATGTCAGTTGCAGGGTTCAGTGCTCACAACGGCAGCCTTTTCCTATTCAAAACATGTATCGTCGGATTCCCAGAGGCCAGTCATGGAAGCAGCAGCCCACTGATGGTGTATATGGATCATGCGACTTTATAGTCATGGACACTCAAGGCTACTTAGGGGAGCTCCTCCAACCCCCGTCTTCTACTATGTCAGCACGAGGCTCCCAATAGGTTATATCCTGCCACATTTTTGGCTTTGAATTTTCTTTTGTTTTTTGAAATAATGTTCTGAGGAGTTGGCAGGTTTTTCTTTAATATCCTTACTTGGCAAAACAAAAAAATATCAACCCTTGTTTCCCTAGCTGTTTGGAAGTTTTACTGGCCCATGAAATTCAAACAACCAAAACCCTAATTAAAACTCTCCTGCTATTGTCCCACTTGGGGGAGGAGAGGCTGGAAACTGAGTCAGGACATCCCATCCTACTCCCTACCCCTCTGGATCAGTGGGAACCTACTATCTAGTGAGGGGGTAATGGATTCTCTCTCTCAAAGGTGTCTCTGTCTTCTTACTAGGTGAGCTGTTCAAATCCATCTTTTCTAACAGGATCTGCTATCTTTCTAGGCCTTGGTGCTGAACTCAAGAGAACATCCTAAAATCTTAATGTGAGCTGATAAAAGCAGAGCACTCATAAACCAGCCGCCGTGCACTTTCACAAGAACCCGGGGATCCATAAAGGAACGGGCAGGGGAGGTTGCAGGTTCTCTGCACATACGTCCTGCGCCTCCCGGTTTGTTTATCCATAATTGCTATGCAAGGATAAATTAGAACAAGAAGTGCATCCTGCCTGGCAGTGGTGATACCAGCCCTGTAAATAATTATAATTTAATCTTATAGCAAAGAGTTCTGAATGACTCCCCTAACGATTTCCTCTGCTTAATTCCTTCCCCACTGAGTGGCTTAATAGGAAAAGGAATACTCCTTCCGATTTGTTTCACTCCAGAAGTTCGGACAACGTGTAGACCCACACCTGGGGAGCCGAAGCTGTGGGAGACCGTGTGGCCCACGGATAAACAAGCAAGTCGAGGAGGCCTTCAGACTAGAGGAGCGGGAACTGGCAGGGATATTCAGCTGGCATCTGTTTACAGAAGTGAAAACTTGGGAACGAGCGAACAGGAGAGCTGATGCGTAAAGCATGCACAGCCTGACAAGGAATGCCACTGAGCCGCGACAATCCTTCAGTGTTGTCTTGGCTAAGAAGATGGGCTTTTAGGCTGACTAACCTGGTGTTGAATCCCCAGCTCTTCACCATACTAGCTGTGTGACTTCAAGCATGCCGTGTAACCTCTCTGGGCCTCAGTTTCCTCATCTTCATAGAATTTTTATAAAGATGAAATGAAATTACAGCCATAAGAGTTCGGAACCAGCCTGCCACATGCTGATAATAAATGCTCAAAAGATGACACTATTATCACACCTATTATATTTTGGAAGTATCTGTAATGATATTGAAAGATTTTCATGATCTAATGCTAAGTTAAAAATACATAACTATAGGCATATTAAGATCCTAATTTTGTAATATTAATATATATTTAAGCAGTAGGCCAGCTACTGGGCAAAAGCAAAAGGATCGAGGCAAAGCAAAAGCCAAAGGAGACTACATAAGAATTGTAATACCTGTTATTCATTTCTCTATAACTTTTTATATTTTTCATGTTTTCTATAAGGAGCATATACATTACACGTATCATCAGGAAAACAGGTATTTTACAAAAAGAGGCAGGGGGACAGAGGGTCTTCAGACTGGACAGGTCCCTGGGCTTGCAGTTCAGTGAAGGGTCATCCAGACTTTCAACCCAACTCCTAGCCCCCAATGTCCAGCCACTGCCCCCAGACTAGAACCTCAGCCTCTACACAGCAATTTCACTCCGGCTTCTCTCAACACCCCATCCAGGGTATAAATAACCTGGCCAAGTTCACAGACAAGCTCATGACACCAAGGTCTTCTGACTCCCTGGTCAATTTGCCTTCCACTGCCCAGGAAAGTGCTCCGGGCTACAGTGGTCCCCAAATTTCAGAGTCCGTGTTTGGGAGGAGTTCATTTCCACTGTATCCCTTTCAGATACTCACACTTGGCTCCTACCATGGGCTTTTTTGGGTTTTCTCACCCTCAAAGGACCATGTCTTACTCAACTGGTGTTTCTATCACAGCACAAAACCTGGGATAAAAGAGGTGCTCAGTGAATGTGCCCCGCCTCCTGTTTCTCCCTCTCCCTTCCTTCCTCCTCAGCCCCACTGATCGCTCTCCTCGACAGTCACCTACTCCCTGCTTCACCCAGAGTCCTCGTGACGCAGCCTCTGCCCTCGTCTGTGGGCACCGCGCCCTGCCTTCCCCGACTGTGCGGCAAGGAAGGCTGCAAAGGTGCCCGTCTTGTCAGAAGCACACCTGAACACATCCTTCGATTGGCTCCTGATGTGCTGACACAGGTTCCCTGGATGCCCGGATAACACAGTCACATGGACAACACATGGGAGCGTTAGAAATGTCATACCATCACCCCAAAAGGAAGCTGGGCACTTCCAGAAGCCAATCTCAGATTGCGTATGTCCCATGGGTCCAAATCTAGACGACTATAAGCAACTAAGATGGGTAAGTCTTCGCCACCCCTCCTCCTAGCCCGTCAGGATCGGGAGTGTCCCAAGCTGGTGGCCATGGGAAAGTCGCGCTTTTTAGTGAAACTGGAACGATGGGGAGAGACTGGTCTTTCCCTGATTCAGAAACCCAGACATAATGCCTTCCCATCTCAGGCCCCAGGAGCGGGAAAAGCAACTGCCACTTAAGGTCCTACTCCCTTTGTTGGATGGTGTAAATATGTCTTCCAGAAATGGAAAGATATTTCACATCGTTTCACAGAGACCCTGTCCACGTCCTGAGACCAGAACATTTCTGGTCTTAATGCAAGTTACTCGACCAAAACCAATCATGAAATTCTACAGCAAGGACATGCTTCAAATCAGATACCACAATCACTGGAAAAATTTACCCAGGCTCTAAATACATGCAGTGATGTCTCATTTGATGAGAGAAACACTCGCCGACAGTGGGTGCGGGAAGTGGCGAAGGGGCCCCCGGCTGCAGGCCCAGGTGCTGAGGAGACTGCGTCGCAGTAAGGCACAGAGGCAAGGGGCAGGGTAGGGGCGGGGATGGTGCTTACCAGAGGGAGGAGCCTTCGGTCCCCGTGACTTCCAGAAAGTCGTAGCCGTCCTCCAGCTGGAAGTCAATGAAGACCAGAGCGATGGTGTCCCCCAGCTCGGCCAGGATAGTCCATGTGCAGTCGGCATTGTTATGGTACTCTGCTGGGAAGTGGGGGCTGGAGATAATGCCGCTCTGGCCCCGCAGGGTCCCACCACAGGCATCGTCCGCTGTGGGCAAGAGACGAGAGGCTCACATGAGTTGGTCCTGTTCTCAGGCCCCGGTACTCACTGTGCACTTCACTCATGACAAGTTGAGAGGGTCCTGAAACCTAAGGCAGACAGGAGGGGCTGAGATCCCAGTCTGAATTGGCCTAATAATAATGTTACCAATGCTTCTGTAGCCCTTAACGTGCCTGGCAATGTTCTGAGAATTTTAGATATCATTGTTCTTACTGAATAGATGAAGAAACCAAGGCACAGAGAGGTTCAGTAACCTGTTGGTGGTCACACAGCCAAGGAGCTGGGATTTGAACTCTGCCCTTCAGAGCACATTCTTAACTACTCCACCACACTGCTCCATGTTGACCAGGAAGGATGCTGAAACCAGCTACCCCATTTATTTCTGCATTCTCAACTGCAGTGAATAGGCTGGTTCTTTCCCCCAGATCTTAGTAAATCCCAGATGTAATGGAACAAAACAAAAACTCAACCCTACTCCTTGGGGCAGAAGTCAGACAGCATCCCAGGCCCATCACAGCCTGGCCCGCTGGACCTCTGCAATCTTTCTTCCTGCCCCTATCCCCAGGCCAGCTGTTTTAGTGCTGTGCACATTAAGGCCCCCTGCCCTTTGCTCACACCTTTCCCTCTGCTGAGGGTGCCCTTTGTCCAGAGCCGCTCTTTTTAATGATTTGAGACCCAACTCCAATGCTACCTCTTAGAAATCCTCATTTCCCCAGCTTTTAGAAGCTGCTCTCGCCTCTGGGCTCCCTGAGCAACGTTTCCAACTTCAGACATGGTACTTCACACTGTTTGAATGACTTGTTCTTCCACTCTAGGCTCTGAGCTCTGCTAGAGTCCCCAAGGGCGGGGACCATGTTTTACTCATCCCTGCAGCATAGCCTGGTACAGTCTTGCTGCTCCCAGCAGAGACTTGATATTCAGAAAAAATGACCTGAGGAACATGTTCTCACATGTGATAGTGAAGAGCCCTGGCTTCTGGATTATCGCAGACCTCATTTTGGATCCCTACCCTGCTGCTTACTAGCTGGGCCACATGCCCTACTGGGGCCTGTATGGAAGTGATTATAACACACTTAGCACATGCTATATTAGAGTTATGGACTAAATTGGAAAGAAAGGAAAAAGGCAGTATCAGGGTTCAAATGGCCATCAGAGGCAGCAGAATGACAATAATAAAACCTAACATTTATTGAGCACATACCAGAGCAGGCACTATTCTAACTACTCTGTATATTTCATATAATCCTTATTATGACCCTATAGAGTATCATTCCCATTTTACAGGTAAGGAAACCAAGGCACAAAAGGGATTCAGTTATTTCCCAAAGGTGGACCAGCTCTTGGTGATGAAAGGAGCTGGAATCCTGAGCCTTCCTCCAGAGGGGCGTGTCTTGAATAGCAGCACCATTCACCCAGTGCCTTTATGCCAGAGCTGCGGGACCTCCTCAACTCCTCTTGCACCCCACACCCAACCAGTGACCAAGTCTGGGCCATCCTTCTAAGTGGCTCTTGGCTCAGTCACTGTCTTACTGCTGCTCTACTCTAGGCAAGCTGAGTTCCAAGCACACCTGCCATGAGGCCTCCCTCCTGCCCCAGCTGTATTCTTCACAGAGGCTTGAAGGCACAGACCTGCCGACGCCTCTCCTCCCTGTATGACCTTCCATGACTCCCACTGTCCCTCAGGATAAAGTGGAATATCCTGCGGTTGACAAGGACCTTAGGAGGCCTCGCCTCATGCCAGTTTCTCCACCACTACTGCAACCACCCTCACCTCCTCCTGGCTCTTCCTGTACGCCAAGCCTCTCTTTGCTCAAGGATCTTTGAAAATGCTAGTTTCTCTTTCTGGAACCTTCCTCCCTCTCTCGTTGGGCCTGGCTGCCCCCTTCTCAGCCTTAAGGTCCTAGTCTAAGTGTCGCTCCTCCAGGGTTTTTCCAGAAACACAATATCGCTTCCCCCATTATACACTTTCAGAGTACTACATATTTTCCCACAATTAATTCTTTCCCATAATTAATCAATCAATTATGTCATTTCTTTAATGTCCAGTTAGTAAACTCTATGAGGGCAAGGGCCATGTCTGTACTCTCTCCAGCATCTACCACATTTCCTGGTGTATAGCAGGCAGTCAATAAATACCTTTTAAACAAATAAATAGACCAGGGAACTAAAGCTCAGAGAGGTTAAGCAACTTTCCTAAGATCACACAGTAGATGGTCAAGTGAGGATTCCAGTTGAGTCTCTGTAGCACCAGAACTGTGGTCTCCTCCACTACACCACACCTCCCTACTTGGTAAGCTGTCCTCAGATCTTCAAGTGTCCGGGTTTTAGTAATGACTCCTAGACTGTGCTAGGGCTGGGGACTAGGGAACTGAGACCCTCTGGCAGAGTCACCGGTGCACCCTGAAGATGGCACCTTTGCTGCATGAGTCATCCTGCTCTCACGCTCCTCTGACACCCTTGTTCCTGCTCTGTCCTGCCATGATTGAAGATGCTGTAAAAGTTGTTTGGAGATTTTCTCACACTTTAAATAAGGCTTCATATTTCATGGTTACAACTCCGGAGTCATAAAGTATAACCTTCAGCTGACACCACCGTCCCAAAGTATTAATTTACACTTCCCCCTTCCCTGGCCATGGGCATTCTGCACTGCCACTGAGTCGTGGATATTCTGAGGTGCAGGTGTGCGAAGCTGATAGTTTCCTTTCCGAGTTTATGACTTTATTTACGATCGACTTTAAGTTTCGCTGAAATTCCTTCAATTAACCATAATTTTAGACAACTATCCCTCAGCCTCCTCTGACATCTGTGTACTCTAATGACTCACAAATTTCAGGGAGGAATGGAGGAAGCTGCATCCTGTTCCCCCCACCCCCACTCCCGTGCGCACTCCTGGAGGCCTGCAAGCTTCGGGGTGCTCAGCCCTGGGTGTCTGCCCACATCCTCCCTCCTCAGGGCTACTCAGCCCCCAAGGAAATGAAAATCCCATTAGGCCCTGGGGCTTTGCAAGAAGCCACCACCTGACAACTCAAGTGCAAGACTGACCAAGCCAGGGCATGAGGCACCAAAGCCACCATGCTCCCCCTTTTCTTGTACTGTGTAGCACAATGTCCCTTCTGGGGCCCCAGTGACCTGCTTGACCTCCTCAGTCCCCTCTTTGGGGGGGCTCCAGATTTTGTCCTTTATCCGTGCTCCCTGCAAGGACTCCCCTTCTTAAAATTAAGAAATTGACAACTGCCTGAGAGCATCACTGTTTCTACCACCACCAGGCTCCTTCTGTAGATACAGCTGTCCCCCCTTACCCATGGGAGATATGTTCCAAGACCCCCGGTGGATGCCGGGGGTAGTACCGAGTCCTATACACATATACTATTATTTCCTATACATAGTAGGCACTGAAATGTCAAACCCCAAGTGAATGAATGAGCATGCAGCAACCCTGTAAGGCCGTGACTCATTCCCCCACATTAAAACTCAGAGAGGTTTCAGCAGCACACTGGCAGCCCCAGCTTGGAGCTGGCACAGCCAGGGTTGAACTTAGGCCTATCTGACTCCCTGCTCTTCCATGCTGGGCACACTGCTTCTGTCCACATCCCGCAGCTTCCTCCCCCAGGGCCAGGAAATTTGGAATGCAGCTCAGTACTTGCAGCCCAAGCTTCTGCAGACCAAATGCCTGTTTCCCTGGGTCTGGTGGCAGCCTGCAGTGTTTGGCTGGAACCTCAGAGGCCAAGCCTTTCTTGCTCAGGCTTTCTTTCCACCACCTGCCTCTCAGCCCCCAGCACATCTGAACCCTGTTCCTTCCCCATGCGGTCTTCTTTGATCCAGGGCCAATGCCCCTCACAAGTCAAGAGGCTGGTTGCTGAAATCCACATGGTCTTCATTCTTGTGGTTCAAAGACGTTCCACAGAGCTCAGTGCTTCCCAGGGACCTCTGCCTTTGTAAAGGTACAGAGAGTGACACAAATGGAGGGAGGCCACAGGCCCTGCCTCCTTCTCTCTGCCTGCTGGATCAAGGCTCCATGGGCCTTGGGATGGGCCTCCTGGAGTCAGCCTAATACCTGCTCTGCCCCCTGATCCCAGCTAGTCTCTACTCCCTTTTAGTCTGAGCTGTGTCCCCAGACTAAGCCCACCTTTCAGCTGGGCACATGGCATTTCCTGTAGAAAGCAGAGGTACACAGTCCTCCCACCTGCTCCTGGAAGCCTCGGGCTCAAAGCCCTCCTGTCACTCAGAGCTGCTGGGCAGGTGGGCTAATCTAGGCCAGTCCTTTTCCTCTGGGGCTAGTATGCCTGCAGGATCCTGATGGTGAATTAGACCATCCAGCCATCCGTTCATTCAGCAGATATTTCCAGACCACTGCCCAGTGGATGAGGTTTATCCACTTATAGATGCCAGCCCTTGAGAGTTCTACATGAGAGGCAGGAAGGCCAAAAGGCTTTAATCCTGCCTGAGCATGAACCCGCTAACTCTGGCATGACTGCTGCTCCTGGCATGGAGCAGCACATGGTTTAGCTTGGCCTCCTAAGGAAGGCAGTTTACAAAATCACTTTCAGAAAATCACTGACATTACTGAGGGTGCTTCTCAGGCTATTCTTGCAGCTTGTGGCAATTAGAATAGAGGAATCGACCTGAAGCACAGGGGTGGGGAAGTGCTAGGGGCTTGGAGAGTGGGAGAGACACAGCCCCCTCAGGCACCAAGCAGTCTCTGGGGCTCAATACCCCTCTGAAAGCAAGACCTGACATCCTCAGCTGGCGTCCCTGGCGTGTTCCAAGAGGGAACATTCTCTACTGAGGCTGAAGATGCTCAGAGAGGACTCAGAAAGGTCAGCCGGGGACTCTTTCTGGAAGGGCCTCATGTTCCATGCTGAGGAATCTGAACTTGACCCTGTCAGTGATGAAGACCCACTGACAGGATTCTAAGCAATGGGTGATTCTGTCAGATCTGTGTCTTAGAAGGTTCACTCCAGCAGCAGAGAACGAACTGGGATAAGCATGGTGGGGAACTGGAGGACGGCTGCCCAATGACGGACACTTTGCAGAGAGACAGGTAAGAGATGAGAGGGCCTGGGCTGTCACCACCCAGGACCCCCTGATAGTGGCAGTGATGGGGAGGAGAGGGCAAGTGCAGAGGGAGATTGCCAGGGCATGGTGACCGATGATGCAGGGAGCAAAGGTGAGGAGTAAGGTGCCACTGGGGGGTCTGGTGGGGCCACCTTGGATGGTGACACTCTTTCCCAAGCTGGGGAAGGCAGCACAAAAAGCAGGTTTGAGAAAACAGAGTTAGTTTTTGAACATGACCCCTTTGAGGCACACTCTGGGGAGGGGTTCAGTGGTGTTTGATCCCTATATGGGCCTGAAGCTTAGGAAAGAGGGCAGGGCTGGAGGTAGAAATCCAAGAGTCTCCCCCAAGCAACAATGAGAAGCCATGTCGTGGATGAGTGATTCCGAGAGAGGCAAGAAGTCTGTAGAGAGGAAGCCACGTATATAAAGAGAACCACCATCATCTGAGGCCAAAAGAGAATCAGGGTAGGTTTGGGAGGAAGTCGTGCCACAGAAAGGTTCCCCATGCCTGCAAATTACTGTTGTGATGTGAATACTGGGGGAGCAGCATCACCAGCCCACTCTGTCCCAGCCCCACTGCCCCTACGCCTGAATGCACAGACATTGGACTGCGGGGTCTGGATTTGACCCAGGAAGGAAGACCTCCTAGAGGTGGCCTTCATCACTGGTCTTTCACTCGTGAGTTAACAAGAAAGTGATTTGAACAGCCAGCCCCAGAGTTTTTTCAGGTGAAAGCCTTCTTCACGCAGGAAAATACCACCCTAACCTGAACAGCTTGGGTGGGGAAGGGAGACACCAGCTGGCAAGGAGACGGCAAAGCCAAGGAGCTACCAGGCTTCCGCACCTAAGAAGTCGACAGAGGTCCTGAAACAGGGCCGAGGTCAAGAGGCTGCAACATGGAGGAGACCCGAGAAAGAAGAGATGGCATAATGCACCCCACAGGGGAGCCAGGGCCTGATCAGGTGGAAGCCAGGGAGAAGGGACCAAAAGACGTGGAGGCTCCTGGCTGCCCAGACTCATTTTAAGTGACTTGCGTGGCTGAGAGGCAAACTGCCTGTGTTGCCACAAACCTTCAATAAAGGCTGTGCCATATGCAAACACCTTTGTTAGTGGTTTTGTTTTTGTTTTTATTTTTATTTGGGGGGGGTGTCAAATAAATGGGCCAAGTTCCTGACCTAAGTTGGCAAAGCAAAAGCCAGGGAGGTGGGGCACGGCAGTGAGTTTAGGGTTGAGAGGGAGCTAAAGCTAACACAGCTTCTGGAAGATTCTGAGAGGGCCAATGGTTTGCACCACATTAGGATGGGATGCTGGTGTGAGTTACACTCCCCAGGACAGGCTGCCAGCCCCTTCACCTCTGATACTTGCGCTACATTTGCTTTTAGTTTCCACGTTAACTAACAGTGTATGACATTTATAGTGCTATAAAAAGAAAGAGGACTGTTGGTTTTTGTTTCACAACTTAAGTATTAATTTTCTATCGTGTTTTCTGTTATCATGTCACAACCCTGACTCCCCTCCTTGGAAGAATGGAGTCAGTCTGTTAAGCTTCGACATCGTCTGGGCAGGGGGTGGGCACGGATGCTATAAGGAAGGGTGGATACAGCAGCTTCAGGCCACGGTTAAGACACTCAGGGCCACACCTGTATGTAGGGGCCTGATCGGTTTCGCCATTCCTGACGTCAATCATGTAATTGATCCGGTCATTCCTGATACAAATCACCTGAAGAGAGGCACGTCCCACATGAGAAACGGGGCCTGAGAGGAAGGCATTTAGGAAGGCAAGAGAGGAGACTCCAGTTTCCTCAGCTCCACCAGGAAGGACCAACGCAGCTGAGGCCAATATTACTGGTAGAGGGAGCTAAACAGACGTGGAGTCAGGCGGCAACTCGGATTGACTGGTTGGGGCTGCCTGTTGGAAAGGAGCACACAGCTGTGTCTGGACTTGAGCAGAAAGGGTGCTACAATCAATTAGTTTTGTCTGCCCTCAAAGTGGGAAGAATGGGAAGAGCTGGACGTGCCAAATATTTTCCATCCCGGGTGCAGGCAGTGAAAAGGGTGTGTGCACGCGGTGGGAGTAATTACAGAAAATCTTCCTCTAGGAGAGAGGCAAAATTTGAACCCAAGGACCCAAGGAGAGCTCCTTGTTTCAATTATTTCTCAACTCCTTGAAATGATCTTCCCAGACCTGTAGCTGGGTTTCTGGGATCTACAGAATTTAAAGATGAGAACTTCAAGAAGAAAAGTGTGGTCAATAGTGCAAAGCTGTCATGAGGTCAAAGGATATGAGGGCAACACAATTCCCATCTGATCTGGCAATAAGATGCAGAACACCGGGGCAGAGGTCGCCCTGCAGCACCGAAGTGGGAGGCGAGAGAGCTGGGCTGCATGGAGCTTTCGAGACGCTGGCATTTCTGGTGGTACAGGGAAGCCCGGAGGTGCGCTATCGACTTTTAAAAGATGGATAAAAAATATGTACATGCATTATAATCTTAATTATGCATATATTCATAATATATGCATATATGCAATATGTACTGGAAGAAAGTGGAAAGGAAATATATGAAAATTGTGGTTAAAACACATACATTGTTTCTTTATTCTTTTGTGTTATTTTCTAAGATCATTTAAAACTGATCATGTGTTATTTTTATCACCAGATAAGAAGCAGATAAGAGCTAAAACTGACAAAGTCCCAGGGAAAACAGAAGAAGTTGGTCACCCTAGCTGGGGGCTGAGGCAGATGTAGCACTGAAGGGATGTGGGATTTTTGGGGGAGGGGGTGACTGTTGGGGTAAAGATGTTTTGAGCATATTTGAAGACTGAGAGAGAGAGAGGACACCATTAAATAGGAAGAGAGGTTGGATTTATAGGAAAGAGAAAAGCTAACCACCAGGGTGAAGTCAGTAGGAAAGGGGCTGGGAGAGAGATCCACCCACAGAGGACATGGTTGGTGATGGGAAGAGAAAACCCTGTTTCTTCTGAGACAAGAGGGCAGGAGGTGAGGGCAGACTGGCTAAAAATATGTTTGTTGATGTAGGGGAAGGAGGTTGAGAGACTGCACACCTCAGGGCTAGGAGGTCAGGTGAGGGTGAGAAGACACTAGAATACCTGAGGACCCTGAGGACCTTCAGTCCCCCAGACATGGGTTCCCGAGTGAGTACCCCACACCCTGCTGGGGTGGATGATGCGGCTTCCCCACTGGAGACTGGGTCCTACTGAAAGCTCCGGCATTCCCTCCCAATCACCACCCACCCATAGGACCCGGTCTGGCCACCTACCTCTGCAGGAGGGCAGGGGGAAGTCCCACGTAGCACTGTTCTCGGAGCCAGCGTGGCAGGTGAGCACGGCGTGGCCCTCCAGGAAGAAGCCAGGGTTGCAGCTGTAGCGGACCTTGTCACCCACGTTGAAGGTTGAGCCCTGCTGGACGCCATTGGGCAACCGCCCAGGGTTCCCACACGTGTGACTCGGGAGCACTGTCATGAGAGGGAGAGACACACAGCCCATGAGCAGGGCTCAAGCCCTGACACTCTGCTTCTGGGCAGCACCTCGCTGGGCATGTCCCCTCCCTGTCTCCTTTCTCCTGTGGGAGAAGGTTGGCCCTCTCAAGGCTGCCTAGTCCCTGAATACTCTCAGAGGTCATGTGCAAAGGAGGACCCACACCTGCAATTTATAACTGAACATCGGGCTTCCTGCCTTTTCTCCTGCTCAGCCCTGGGTGTGGATTCCATCCACTCAATCTATCAAGATGCCCCAAGGAATCACTTTAATCTCTTGGGTTGGTTGCCTGATTTCAGACTCCACACCCCTCATAAAAACCCTGGAAGGGACACGGAGCACAGCATGGAGTAGCTGCTCATTAAACCCAACGCACTTTCTTTCATGTGTGCCTGTCCTGACAGCTGCAGAGGTATGTTGGCTCTGTAGGTTGGGGGAGTTGAGGGGTGATTAGCGCTGGCAGAGGCAGTAAGGTGGGAAAGACGAGAGCCTGGAGTTCTGATCCGACTGACCCATGTAAAGGAGAGAAGGGGGAGCTGGAGAACACGATGTGCAGTGTGGGACCTGAAACAAAGGCATCACGCCAGCTGGGAGAGCGCTCTCATTATCCAGAGGAACACTGAGGGTGCGAGAACATCATGACCCACCAGCTGGGAGGGGGGATGCACAGCTCCTCTGTGCCTGAGTCACTGTTCAACTTGACGCAACTCCCCCTACCCTCTGCCTTCCTCCCCAGAGCTAGAACGACCTGTGCCCTGAAGCCACACCTCCCACTATTCCAGGAAGTCTCCAAAGGGCTGGGATGAGGGGGTCACAGGTATATCCAGACTCCCACCCAAATATCTCTCCATTAACTCCCCCGGCGATGCCCCCAGCGATGATTTACTGAGGCCAGAGAACAGGGTGGTGCTGAGTAATGACTTGAGAGCCTCAGTGCTTATGTTGGCATCCCTGCCTAACAGCTTACTACCTATGGCACCTTGAGCAAGTCTCTCAATTTCTCTGTGCCTCAGTTTCCTCGTTTGTAAGACGGTGATCACAACAGTACCTTTCTCTTTCATGGGGTTGCTGTGAGAATTAAATGAGTTAAGGTGTGAAAAGTGCACAGGACAGGGTCTGGCACACTATAAATACAACATAATTGAATCTACAGTCCCAGTCCAACGGAAGATGTGTGTGATTCAAGGTATGCTAAGTGTTATGATGGGATAGGGACCAGGCAGGGGACCAAACCCAGTGTGGGTAGGTCAGAGACGGCTTCCTGGAAGAGGTGATGTCTATGCTAAGCCCTGAGAGACTAGCTAGGCCAAAGAGTGTTCCAGGAAAAGGAAACGTCATGTGCAAAGGCCCTGAGGCTAGAGATAACCCAGGAGCTCAGGGTACCTGGAGTGAGAGGCAGGGGTGGGGTGGGGGCAATGATGAAAAGTAAAGATGAAGTGGAGGTGGCCAGCCTGGATTCCAGAGAGCCTCCCAGGCCCTTGTAGTACCCTCCTCCTGCCCATGTTGCCAGAAACACCCTGGCAGGACCCCCTCTGCCAGCTCTGATGGATTCAGAACCTGCAGAGAGGCTTTCCTGCTTCCTTCTCCTCTCCTTCAGGGAGACAGCGTGGTGTAGAGGGAAAGGACAGATTTTGGAACCAGCTTGATCTGTGCCTGAAACCAGGCACTGTCAATGTCTTGAGCAGTGTGGCCCCTTTGAGCCCTAGTTTCCTCCGCTGAGAAAGGAGAACAGTAATACCTAGAGTTTGAGAAGGTTACTGATAATAAATGACACATGCCTGGCACCATAACAGATGCTCAAAAAATGGCAGATGTTATCACTCCCCTGGGCTCTACAGCCATGAGGGCAGGGCCTGGCCTGGTCTCTGGGGGTATCGTGGGAGTTTACACAGTGCCTGGCACTTGTAGGGCCATAACTGTGTGTTCATTAATTAGTTACCTGGGAGAGTTACTCACCCATGTATTCGTTCCTTCATGCAACAATTTATCGTGGGCCTACTGTGCTTGGAACGACTATAGCAGGGAATGAGACAAAGTGGGTGCCTGTCCTTAAGAGGCCTGATTCCCTGAGTTACCTGAAGGAAGGAAGAGCTCCTCCTTGCCGGTTCTCTGCCTCTGACAAGCGAGAGGACCCAGCTGAAAGAATTACCTCCACCAGCCTGTCCATTAGCCCAGCTTAGCGGTTCTCCTACTCCCGTGCTGCTGGCTTCCTTGGCATTTCCCATAATTGGCTGCTGGCTTCCTTAATGTTTCCCACGATCCCAAGCTGCAGGCTGCCTCGGCATTACCCATGATCCTCCCGTTGGCGCCATGGCGTCTCCCATGATCCTCCTGCTGGCTCATGTGGCATTTCCCGTGATCCCACGCCACCGGCTTGCAGCAGAGGCAGCGCCCGGGATGCGTGTTTGTGTGTCTTGGTGGTAGGAGGGGCGGTCAGGTAAACATCTGGAGAAGGCAGCAAGCTAAGGGGGGGGGGGAGCCAGCCAGGGGGAATGGGCCGAGAACTGGTGTAGAACTAACGCTTCATTTTCCGCAACGGGACGCAGAGACCCAATTTAATTAAATTACTAATGTCAAATTTTTAATGAGCCTGCTTCTGCTTTGGGCTTTCTTCCTTCAAAATTAATGACTGGAACGTCACTATAAATAAAAGTCGATTCTTTTTAAAAAGTCACTCTCAAACACTCACTGCTCTTTACTTAATGAACTGTTCATAATCAGACCACTCTAGCCAGGCACCTCCGCCTGGACCGGGGTGTGACGCATGGGGGCTCGCTTCCAACCCCACTGCCCTTTTCCTCTAGAGCTCTGCTCCTGAGAGCCACACAATGATCAGACAGAGGGAGACGCTGGGCTCAGGGTGGCCTGGATTCAAGTCTCAGATGGTCCACCTATAGCTGAGTAATCTGGAGACATAAACTTTACCTCTCTAGGCTTCAATCCTTCATCTAAAAATGAGTATACATTTTATTCCAATGGTGGGGGTGTATTAGTTTGCTAGGGTTGTAACAAAGTACCACAAAGTGGCTGGGATAAAACAAGTACCTCTTGTCCCATAGTTATGGAGGCTAGAAGTCCAAAATCAAGGTGTCTACAGAGCCTTGATCTCTCTGAAACTTGCAGGGGACCCCTTCCGTGTCTCTTTGTAGCTTCTGGTGTTTTTCTAGCAATCTTTGGCATTCCTGGGCTGGTAGATGCACCATGCAATCCTTTACCATCACACGGCATTCTCCTTCTGTGTCTCTGGGTCCAACTTTCACCCTTTCCTAAGGACACCAGTCATGTTGGATCAGGACACACCTTATTGGCCTCATCTTAAGTTCATCATCTGAAAAGACCCTATTTCCAAGTAAGGTCATATTCACAGGTACTGGGGTTAGGACTTCAACATATTTTGAACTGTGGGGACATGGTTCAACCTATAACAGGGCTATTGTGCAGATTAAATAAAGATCAAAATCATCCTCTGGGATACCTATAATCCTCATTCTACAGATGGAAAAATTGAGGCACAGAGAGTTTAAGTAACTTGCCCAAGGCCACACAGCTAGAAAACGGAAGAGCTAGGTGGTGAATTCAGGTCTTTCTGGCTCCATTGTTCAGCACTCCTAATTGGGATGTGATACTGCTTCTGACAGAGACAAAGTGCCCAGCACATAGTAGGTGCTTAACAAGCCGGAGTTCCTTTTCTCCCTTTATCATTCTAGGCACTGAGACAAGACAGAGGGTGATTATCTGAGTGTCCATATTTAATAGTCTATTTTTTCCCCTCCAGTCTGATTTACCAATCCTGTACTTTTTAATAATGTCAAGGCCAACATTTAAAGTGTGGCCTTTTGTAATGTGTCTGATGTGCAACTTGCCGGACAGACAGAGGAGATTGGAGATAAGCCACAAAGCGAAGCCTTTCTAAGGCTCAGTGTTCTTTGATTTTTCGATTTTGCCTGTGTGTTTCTTGGCACAGATATAACCATTCCTGCTCTCCCGTCTATAAAACCTCTCTTTGATTGCTTACAAAATCAAGAATGGGATATTTACATCCAACCCAGCCCAGAACAATATTATTAAAGCTGTGGCTGGCATTGAACAATTCCATTGTAGATTAGCAGTGGGGAATTTTGTCCCTTCTACAAAGCTGGGCTCTTGCCAATCAACATAATATTCTTAGTGACTGTATGACAATGAAACTCCTCTGTGGTTGGAGTGCAGCAAAAGCTACATCCTGCCTTCTTTTATTTTTAATTTGAGACTTTAGTTCTCATATTATCATGAAGAGTCGTTTATGCTCTGGGGACAAGCACCCTCCATATGTTTTGATTTCTTATCTCCATCAAGTAACTTGTTTCATCTCCATGGCTGTACGGTTGCTGCAAAGTTGTGGGATGGCTGGGAAGGAGGCTTCAGGGGGAAGGATATAGTCTGCCAGGACCCTGAGCATGGAAAGGGGAAATGGTGCCACGTGTGTGCGTGGTGTGTGTGCAAGCATGTGATTGTGTGATACTGGGGTAGTGGGCACAGTCATGGGAGAAAGGAACAAAACCACTATCTTTTGAGCACCTACACTGTGACAGGCACTTCTGCGTCACACATTACCTTGGCTAATCTTCACCGGCCCCTTACTTTTGGCTGTTCCCTTACCAATGCTATTCTAAACTATAGGTTCTCAAATCCTCCATCTGGCAAACTCCTACTCATCCTTCAAAGCCAGATCTAAATGTCACTATCAGGTGAAGCCCGCCTTGATACCCCTGGTGTCTTGTATAAACTGTAAAATCCCACAATAACACATTCTGACAGAATGTAAATTTGGGAGTCATGTGATTGACAACTTGCTCCCAGAATCCTGGAACTCCCAGCCCATTAACTACACAGTAGCTCACTCTGGTTGTTTCATTAATTTTGCTATCTCACAATCTCATGTCTTACATTGGATTTTGGGAAACCCACTTACGGTGGGTTACGGTGGGGTTTTACTTGC